GGAAAAAAGTAGCGGCTTATAGTCCGGAAAATACGGCATATGAAAACAAATCTAAATGCTCTCTGTTCAGGGGGCCGGACCAAATGTGGAGGTGGGCTGGATTTGGCCTGCGGGCCGTAGTTTGGGGATCACTGATTTAGATCATTGTTCTATTGTTCTGTCTGGGTGTCGTCTGAAATTTGACAGTGTTTTGAAGAAATGCCGGAGATGCAGCAACAACCTGACAGAGCTCAACAAAACAACAAACAACAAACAAAAATATGTAAACAGGATGCTCCAGCTGCCCAGCATACTGACCAGAACCTGTCTCTTTGAGGGCTTGAGTATTAATGTTGGTACACTTGTATGTTTTTGTGAACACGGTGGGTCCACCATTCATTGTTGCTAGGATACACAGACCATAACACTACATTGAGAAAATAATAGTGGGATCCATCAAGAAAAAGAAGGTTGGGGACAAAAAGCAGCAATCCTGCAGGCTCTGCATGTTGAATGAGCCAATAACCGTGAAGCCTCATGTTCACATTTATTTCACAGTATTATTATGAATAACATAAGTTTTATCTTATTATAGCTGAAAAGTTTTTAACATGTTATTTTCTTTTCAGGTGTTATTGTCTGTCTGTCCTATTGAACCTGGATAATTTGTAAAATTGTAAATTGTAAAATAATCTACATTGTCATGTCCAATGCAGAGATTGTACACGCAGTGAGAGAGGGTAACAACTTAATGTTGCACGCTATCACTTGTATGGCTCTGTGTGGCTTATTCTGCTGTGTGTCAGACTGAGCACTCTACACTGACTAACATGGGATTAATGTACCTTATAGGCTACTATGTGAAACCACAGTTCACATTACATTGATATGAAAGAGCAAAGCTGTAGAGCCTTAAAATCAATAGAAGAAGCAAACTTGAGACTCATTTGAACTCCTTTATAAATCAGGTAGAAAGAGTGTTGTGATGTCCTCTGACTAATCCTCTTATTTAACACATGCTTTTCATTTCTTATCTTTGTTTTTTTTTTTTAGACTGATTTATTTATAGTGACTTGAAATATCCATGTATTTATTAATTTTTCACCCAGTTGGTGTTACTCATTCAACTAGTACATTTTATTTGGTCTTTCATAGTATAATGCAATACATATTTACTACTTTGTGGTTTCTTACCTGATAGTCTGCCTCATGAAGCGGTCAGGGTCCTGGGCAGTGAAAGTTGTGAGCAAAGATCCCGCCGGCAAACCTTCTTCCAGTTTAATAGTCTTGGGGTTGGGGCTGAACTCTGGACTCTCGTTGATGTCCAAGATTCTCACAGATACAGTTGCTGTGGACTGACGAGGGATGTGGATGCCGCGGGCCAATGGGATTTCATTTTCTGCCTCCACGGTTAGCATGTATGAACGGGTCAACTCAAAATCTACCGGCTGGGACAAGAACAAAGACAAGAATTTTCTGCTGCAAAATTCCATCCTTTTCCAAACTCATATAACTAAAATTTTCAAGCAATTTTTCTAACATTTTGGACATTTATGTACATATAATACATTACACCTTTTGGGTTTTATGGTCTTTGAAAACATATAACTCAAATACCTTCTGACTAAAAACCTTGTCAAAACAACTTCACTAAGTTTTTCCTGCTTCAGTGTACTTCCCAGAGCCTAATCTTATACTCCTGGTGGGTGTGACATCAGCAGGCAGTGATGTCAGTGACTTGTTAGTTTGTAACGCGTTACTGACGTTGGACCACTTTTTTCAGTGATGAATACCGTATTTTCCGGACTAGAAGGCGCACCGGATTATAAGACACATGCTAAAACATACGGTCAACAACAACAACAAAAAAAGGTAACGGAAACAAAACAGTAAGTCTAGTTGGACTTTATTCTACTATGTAACAATACATTCACGTTATTTTTTATTCTTCTTCCACAAATCCATCAAAGTCCTCCTCTTCTGTGTCTGAATTGAACAGCTGGGCAATTTCGCCATCAAACATGCCAGGTTCCCTCTCATCATTGTCGGAGTCAGGCTTGTTGCAGGTGGCTGTTCAGCAATGATGCCTGCTTTCGCGAAAGCTCGGACAACAGTTAAGGCAGATACATTAGCCCAGGCATCCACAATCCATTCGCTGCCTCCCCGTCTTAGTAAACGTGTGTTCACAGTCTGTCATCCATCGCTCCCACGCCGCTCGCAACTTCTTTTTGAACGCCCTTCTCACTGTACCAGTGAGAAGGGCGCGCATGGAGTCGCAGATGAACAGGGACGGTGATGCGTGGAAAAACCTATCCGGTTTTAACTGGAGGCGTATGCTGCAGAACTCAGACAACAATTCTCTGATTGGTTCATTACTGCTGGTGTACATACTTTACGTATTACGTAATGTCCTCCGATTGGTTTATTGCTGCCAGTGAACGTACTGTACACTTTACATCTCTGTGTCAGGGACAGATTTTGGAATTCAGTGCACACATAAGGCGCACCAGATTATAAGGCGCACTGCTGATTTTTGAGAAAATGTAAGGCTTTTAGGTGCGCCTTATAGTCCGGAAAATACGGTAATCTAACGTGTTACTATTTCAAATCCAGTAATCAGATTAAAGTTATCAAAATCACTGTGTGTTACTGTGCATTACTATTTTCTTTACTAATGTAATTTTATTTCCTGAGCGTCTTGGGGAGTGACCACCATTTCTATGCGACAGTAGCAGCTGATCACATGCCGAGACAGAAATAAAAACAATGTAGGGAGGAGACAGATGTGCATTTGTTGCAAAAAAAAACAGGAACTATTTTGAGTTTCAGTTGCCAAGTCTGATTATCAAAAAACTTGCAATTAAGTATTGGGAAAACTCATTGTAATTTTCACATGTTGTTGCTGAAAGTAACAAAAAAAATTACTTGTAATCTAACTTAGTTACTTTCCAAATCAAGTAGTCAGTAATCTAACTAAGTTACTTTTTCAAGGAGTAATCCGATTGAAGTTTCTTTTTCAAAGTAACTGTGCCATCACTATCAGAAAGACGATCTATTTTCTGTCACTTCCCCAAATATTTGTGTTGTGTTCTAGCAGTGATGTGAATGCTAATTTCTACCAACTAGTTTTTATTCTGACTTCTATTCTAAAAAAAACATTTTAAGACCACCAGCACTTTAGAAAGCAACACTAGCTGCATCTCTACTACAAATGTGCACAAATATTTGTCTGTATTCTGATAATATCGAAAGAACACAATTTTGCAGTTGCAGTCTTTCAATTAAATAAGCAATGCATTTGAAATTATATGTGAATAAGTTTGTTTACACAGTAAACAAATCTATAGGGTCCACTAATGTAAACACGGCACCGGCACTCATCAGCCATCAGAGAAGTTATTTTATGTTCTCTGAAAATTATACTTTTTGCAGATTACTAACAATTGTTTTAGCATCATACCCTACCTTGACCACAGTGATTAAGCCCTCATTAGTGGTGGGGTCAGTGGGGATGGAGAAGTGCTCTGTGGGGTCTCCAGCAATGATCCGGTACACTGTGCTCCAGGCCGGCGTATGCGGCTGGTCTTTATCTGTCACGGTCAGGTTAGCAACAATTACATTCACCCTGTTCTCATGAACTTCACCAAAGAACTGGAAACAAAGACAAACACATTGCATCTCATTAGAATAGGAGCAATGAAATCATGCTTTATAGTAAAAATATTGAAAGCAACTATTACTAGAAATTGCAGTGGAAAAAGCATCTTCTTCAAACGTTCTTTCAGTTGAAGCTCTTCATTGTTTCTGGGAGAGATTAAAATATTGGAATTGACTATTCACACTGCCAATAAAAGCTCGGAGAGCTTAAGTGCTATTTTCCCTTCTGTTAGCAAATAATTACTTGTGTGTGTGTGTGTGTGTGTGTGTGTGTGTGTGTGTGTGTGTGTGTGTGTGTGTGTGTGTGTGTGTGTGTGTGTGTGTATGCATACTGCGTCTGTGGTGAACTCAGGAGGATTGTCGTTGACGTCAGTGATCCTGATGACAGTGGTGGCAGTGTTGGAAAGGCCGTAGGTGGGGTTTCCCTCCATGTCAGTGGCCTGGATGATCAGGGTGTACTGAGGGACTTTCTGGAACCAAACAGAAAACAAAGACAGTCAAAAATGAGGAGAGGTATCCTTTCAGTCATTTCCACCTGCTACTTTATGCCAACATAGCAAGAGGACTAGACGTGTATCATCCCTTGGCCATAAAAAATAATTGCTTAAAGTTTTCACTAAGATCTCTATTAGTTTTTTATGTCAACAAAATACAAAATAAAGAAACTGAACAAAGAACTGTCTATGGAAAGCACAATGTTATAACAATATAGCAGATTAGTATATTCATCTGCTATTATTCCAGTACTCATTCTTCATCTACGACCATCCATCCATCCATTATGCCACACGCTTATTCCTGAGGGGTAAGCGTGTGGCTGGAGATAGGGGTGCTGGTGCCTATCTCCAGCGGTCAACAGAAGAGAGGCAGGGTCCAGTCCATCGAAGTCATTCTTCATTTAAGTCTCATAAAAAGTTACTTTTTCCTTATTTTCCCATTGTTGTGCTTCTTGTAGTTTAGTATACATGTCAATTTTTACGTCAAAAATATTTCTTCTATGGTTGTTATCCACTGGTGTCGTTTTATGATGTAAAGTGTTTTGAAATGCCTTGTTTGCTGAGATGTGCCATACGAAAGAACTTGATTGATTGATTGATTGATTGATTGATTGATTGATTGATTGACTGATTGACTGATTGATTGACTGACTGACTGACTGACTGACTGACTGAGGAACTTCTGGAGATGATTATGCAAATAAGGAATCTTCATAAATCAAGAAAATTATAAAAACATTGACCATCTTATTCATGAGACTATCTTGGGAAAGCAGAGCATCTTCAGTCAGAGGTTTCTTCAAATTCATTATAGAACAGATTGCTGAAGAAGATCTTTCCTGCCAACGGCCATCAACATCATTTAGAATTTGATGATGAAATGAAGGTGAAACGAAAAAAAGATGTTGAATTGATGAGGACTGGACTGAGATAAATGTGGTGACATTAGTGACATTAGGAAAACATTTGTGGACATGGAGTGAAGGGGAAAAGGATACATCAGAAGGAAATGGAGTAGGGAGTGTTGAGATGCTTTACCAAGGCCGAGAAAGAGTCACATGCTGTTAGACAAAGGGCCCATAGTAAAGAGTTACATTTTTGATTCTGTTAGACACTAAAGCACATTCCTCAGAGAAACAGAAACTTATCAGGCCACAGATACATGGTGTGATTTCAGGGAGTGTCTTCAGTCCATATAATCAGCTTCCCTCCTCCTCCGCAGACGCTGCACAGACTTTTTTAGAAACTCTTCTCGGATGTAATGGTAAAGCGTCTCCTTTCAGCGCTGAAAGTTAATAAAATAAGTAAAGTCTGAATGCTTTTCTTGGCTGATTTTATGCTCCGTGTGTCAATACAAATTATGATTCATCGATTGAGATTCTCGTTCTCAACAGAAGTCTTGGCTGAACTGGATTTATGAGCTTTGAAATACACATGAGCCAACAAGACATGAAAAGTAGAAAAAAGTAAAAGGAAGATTAGAAGAAGGGACAGTGGGATGAGGGATGAAGGGATGTTTATACGCAAACTTTGTGAAGCTTGCGAAGACTCTGGAAGACCGAGGTGGTCCGAGAGGAGCCTGACACTCCGATGGAGGTCTACAAGCTGGCAGCGGAATGACGTCACCGGGAATGTTGGAGGAGTAAGTAGAGGTTGAGAAAAAGCCGGAAGCCTGGGATGACAGCAATGCTGTTGTTTGATCAGGTACGGAATATGAAAGGAGTCGGAAAAAACTTAATTTGTTGTCTGAGTGGTTGAATGAGATTCCTTTCTAATGTAGAGAGCGTTGAAGGTGAGCGATGACCCAGGACTTGAGGCTTTGACGAATTGAAATGCCTGCGGTGGAGCGCTGGGACATGGATGTGTTGGTGATGTTTGGCTGAGTGACTCAGGAAGGCGGTGGTGGCCCGGAAGAACGACCCTGATGTCTGACGTCTAAGCGGTCTACGCAGGGCCGGCTCAAGACATGACCAAACTAAGCGGCCGCTTAGGGCCCCGGGGTCACTAAGAGGCCCCCTTAGTGGAACTTAAATTTTTTATTTTTATTTTTTTTAAAGTAATGATTTCTATGTGATTATATTAACAAAATCACATAAATTCATTATAGTTATTTTTTTTACAATAATGTATATTTGATAATGTATGTAGAATTCTTTCAAAAAGAAAAATAAATAAATAAATTGCTCTTGGGGGGGCCCTTGGTGGCCGCGGTAGGTACTGCACTGAATGGTAATATGAGCTGCTGAACAGAACGCACCCAAACCTCCAAATCGAGTTATTAAAACAATGACACACAAAAAAATTATCCTTCAGGGAGAGAGCAAAGAAAAAGGAAGAATAGAGAAAAAGTCAAGATAAAGGTATGTCTTAATGTGTATTGGTAATGTAATGTTAATCAGAAAGATTTGCTGAGGTGCTAATTGGAAAATTACCTTGATATAAACCTTGAACGATCCAGTTCAACAGCCAAACATTTATGCTACATTGTTTGTATTTGTGTGAAGCTGAGTTTTAACTTTAAATGAGTTGATTCTCGTGGTTGGCCCTGTATTTCTGAGGGGGATTTTTGCCGTCAAAATGTGTTTGATGACGTGTTATGCATATAAAACAAACAGTATTTTAACATCAACTTATAAGGTAATTGAAACTTCATCAATAAAAATAGTTTGAAATCACAGAATCAACCCGGTACCAGTCCACATTCTCAAGTGAGAAAGACTCACCTGGTATAAATTACATTTTTATCTATTGTAATTACTCCTAAGACAAATTAATTTAATCAAAGAATGTCATGAATATGAGTGTAGGGCTGCACCGACTGCAGGTTTCTGGCCAATGGCAAATTAAAAATCTTTAAAAAGCCTAATCTGCAGATTTTGATTTTGGCCGATACCAATTTTTTTTTGTCTGAAATTTTGCTAAATGTAGCAAGAAAGTCACAGAGTTGGCAACAGTGGGGTGAATATTGTTAACTGTAAACATGCATACATTGTGTATGTGCCAGTGTAAAACCTCTCACTGTAGAGCAGAAGAGGACAGAGGCAGATTTAAACATCACTGTCAGAGATGCAGTAAGTTTAAATTTATAGAAGGTGTGTGAATGATCTAATAATCTGACTGTTGATTGCAGCCAGTCCACATTATTAGCAGATCTAGAGGGCCCCAAAACCAAATTTAGCTTAGGGCCCCATGGAGGGTTGGGCTGGCCCTGGGTCTACGGCCATGGGACTGGAATGTTGTTGGAGGTGAAGGATGACCCTCTGACGGATGTTGAACTGACGATAAAGTGGAGACAGAGCTCAAGTATCGAAGATAACGGAGCGCAGGCTTTTGTGACTTGGAGTTTGTCTCGTTACTGCAAGAGGAGAATGTTTGGCAACAGATGGGATATTGAAGATCATCGTCTGAATCAGAAAGGTAGAGCTGAATAACCACGTTGCATTCTGTGGTGAGTTGAATTTATAGATTTGTAATAATAGCAAGAGTCATAGGTCTGACGGTTGACAAAACGTAACAGCCTGAGATGAATGGGTGAGCAGAGTATAAATAGGCAACCTGGAAAATTAGAGGTGTGGTTTGGGTGTGGCCCAGCTCCCGAACTTAAATTAACACATTAACACCATTTAGTTATTTTCCCATATTCTGGTGGATTTTACAGAAAAGTTGTTTATGTTTATTTTGTATGTGTACAGGAGTTGGTGTTTGAGAACCCCAGAGTGCAAATTCACTCATTACAGTAGTTATTGCTCAATAATACCATATGTCACCAGGCAGGTTTGGCAAATAATTCTTGATAATCAGGTGGTGTTACAACTTATTAATTTTAATGAAAAATCACAAACTTTAATAACTGCCCTTTGCCTTTTTTAATAGTTATTCATAGCCAAACCAATATTGTTGCATAATAACCTGTTTATGGGGACAAAGTTGAAGTAGACTGGGTTTTATTGGTAACAACTAAATATGACAAACAATTAAGAAATGAAAAAGGAGCCAGGACCTTGCAGAACATCCACTCAAACACAAGCCCAACATACCTCCCGATCCAGGCCTGCAGCAACAGTGATGATGTCACCAGTCCTGTTGTTTATGGTAAACATATTATATGATGGGCTTTGGGGATTCTGAGAAAGTATCTTGTACCGCAACATTCCATTGGCCATTTTTGGGTCATCCTTATCCACTGCTGTCACTGTCATTACAAATGATCCTGCAGGAACATAGAAGTAGGTACACTGTAAAACATTTGAAGGTGGTTTAAATTGAAATTAAAGTCCACCTACTACCTTGACAAGCCAATTTAGGTCAGCAAGAAAATTATATTGGTTTTAACCAATTGGTTTAAATTAAAGTTCAGGAACTTGATTTAACAACAAGAGAAAAGTTGTGTTAACATTGTTTTTAAGTTAATTAATCTTGAATTGTGAGTTTTAACTTATTGCTGTAATTTAAACCAAATAATTATTTCACAAAGTGCAAGAAAAAAACTTTGGTTATGTAGTGTAACCCCAGATTCTATGAGTAAAGGCGCAGCCCTTTAAGGCGATCGCTAGTGGGTTTATCCCTCGCATGCAGCTGAGCACTGACAAAAAACTTAGTCCACGCCCACCTGCTGGGTGGACCCCACCCCGGTCTGTATAAATAACGGTCAGACCAGACAAACGGCTCCCTAACAGCGTTTTTCTTAGCTATTCAGGAACCAATGAGGCCCACATCTTAAAGGGCTGCGCCTATACTCATAGAATCTGGGTTTACAATATGCAACCAACGTTCTATTTCGTATAGGCTTCGCCGGATGTAGTCTATGCCTCACTGGGTCCATCCAGACCACCACCATGAAGCATCTGCTCGCATATAACAAAAAACAGTCTCAGCCTAGAGTGCATAATTACCCACTCCCAGCCTCCCATACAGCAGAAGACCAGAGAGAATAGGCTCTGGTTACAAAGGTTGAGATAAACAGACCTGCTGCTGTGAACAGGAACAACGAACATTACTGTAACAGTGTAACGATGAACAGAACAGGTAACTTATTATACAGCACTTTGGACAACCATGTTGTTCTCAAATGCTTTGTAAATAAACGTAACAAAAATAATTATTCTGTCAGAACTCTGAGGACAGAATGGGTCATAGAGAACGTGGAAACATCAAACAGGTAAAACCAAATAAATGAGCCCAGAGATGACCAGGAATCTGCCTTGCAAATGTCCTCCACAGACATTCCTCCACGCAGAGCTGTGGAGGATGAAATCCCTCTGGTGGAGTGAGCTCTCAGATTCTCTGGAGGATCCAATCCAGAAGAAATGAAAGCCTGTGAGATGGCCTCACACAACCAGTGAGAAAGACGCTGGGCGGACAGAGGACGCCCCACTGAGTTATCTCTGTAATGCATGAACAGACGCTGAGAGCGACGCAGTGCAGATATATGCAC